TAGAAACATTTCCGGTCTGACCTGGGACGAGGCACAGGCACCTCTCTCCTTGTGTCTTGCTCACCACTAGCACCGCTAGCCTTTGCTAGTATGTCGCGTCGCTCATGCTTAACAACACTGGTTTTATGGACGAGTGCAAACTCGTCAGCCAGGGTCGCGGTCTACTGCAACGTAGAGACCTTCTGCTCGTTCAGGTATAGCGCCATCTGCTCGGTGACGCAATTTTTGAACTCCTCAATGAGAATTAATTCCCGTACCGAAGCTAGGTCTGCAGCTTTACAGGCCATACACCACCGATCAAAGAGGACACTCTTTTCTCTTGCGAAATCCAGGAAGGATTGACCCTGCACCTTTTTCAGCCCCCGAAATCGCTGCCTGTAAGCCTCGGGGACTAGCTCATAGGCTAACAGGATTGCACTTTTCAGTTTGTCGTAGTCCAAACTGCACTCAGCGGACAACGAGGAACAAACTTCCTGTGCCCACCAGCTTGCACTGTAGCAGGATGGCCCACGCATCCCGCGGCCAACGCAAGGCTGTCGCTATCCGCTCAAATGATTCAAAATAAATCTCCACCTCCGTGTCACGAAATGCAGGGACCAGACGACTATTCCGTCCTACATCAAACTGTACGTCTGTCTGTGACAGCGAAGCCACCACAGGAGGGGAGGAGGCCTGCTAGAGTTCCAGCTGTCGCAGCTTGACCTTCGTCTCTGCCTCCACCTTCATCAGCTCAACCTCCCTAGCCCTAGCCAGTTCCGCGTCCAAACGCCTAAGCTCTATCTCCCTTTTCAGCTGGAACTCTCTTTCACGCTGCTTCTTCTCCAGCTGGAGACGAGCCAGACGGATTTTGAGCCTAGCATCCTGCTTAGAACCCTCTGATGACTGGCTGGAGAGTGGATCAAAACGGGGCAGCGTCACTAGCCCCCCCTCGGGCAACCCCTGGTCCACAGGTGTAGACACTGATGGTTCTACAACCTGGCCTGGAACGTGAGGCGCCGCACTTGGTCCAGCCGGACCGGGTGTGCTCGGGGGTTCCTGCATTACAACCACCCTCTTCTCCAACAACCCGGACACCAGAGCGGCTTTCAGCTCGG